CCAGGCTGGCCTCGAACTCACAGAGATCCGCCTGCCTCTGCCTCCCGAGTGCTGGGATTAAAGGCGTGCGCCACCACCGCCCGGCGCATTTTTTTTTTTTTAAGATTTATTTATTATGTATACAGTGTTCTACCTGCACATATGCCTGCAGGCCAGAAGATGGCGCCATATCTCATTACGGATGGTTGTGAGCCACCCTGTGGTTACCGCGAGGGAATTGAACTCAGGACCTCTGGAAAAACAGTCAGTGCTCTTAACCTCTGAGGCGTCTCTCCAGCCCCAGAATGCATTTCAGCGTCCTCCATTCAGACCTAAGTGATGCCCAGGGCTGAGAACCGGGTGAACAGGAGGCACACCCCAGCCCTAGCAACAGTGACCACGGCTCTCAAACCCCCACACCAGGCCTTCCCAGAACTTTTTGGAGTGAGTCATGAGGCACTCTGGACACATGTTGGGGACAGCTGGAGCAAGTATCCTCAAGCCCTTGGCTTTCTGCGCAGTCCGTTCCACACTGTAGCCCAGAATGTTTGCAGAGGCCATGACCTGTTGCAATGGCCTCCCACCTATGCCTGCTCCTAAATGTCCTTCCGGCAGTGACCACTAGGGGGAGCCATCCAGGTCTGTCTGTGTCAGCTATGACCTGCCTACAACAGCAGGGACAGCAACACCCGTATAGCCAAGGTATTTTCAGAGCCATCCCCCAAGATCTGGAGGATGCTTCCCTTCATCCTCACCAGCGCTCCCGCGACCCCATGCACAGCTGGACCTGTCCCAGGTGGTCCTCTCTGAGGGACTCTCTCCCAAAGGTCAAATGGTTTGTATGGGACTCTCTCCCAGAGGTCATGGAGATTTTGTTAGGATACTTTACTCTCCTTAGTTTCTTCAAAGTAAGAGATTCAGAAAAAGTAGGTGTGGTGACTCGAATCTTTAATCCCAGCACTGGGAAGACAGAGGCAGAGGTGAGTCTCTGTGGGTTCAAGGCTAAACCTGGTCTATATAGCGAGCTCCAGGACAGCCAGGGCAACATTATAGAGACCCTGTTTCAAAAATAAAAAACAGGGGCAGGGCAAACGTGAGGACTTGAGCTTGACCCCAAAACTTGAATTAAAAGGTGGGGTGCTAGAGAGATGGCTATGGTTTAGACGTTTGCTATTTTTGCAAAGGACTTGGCTTCAGTTTCCAGGACTTAACCATGGCAGCTCTTAACTGCCTGTAACTCCCGTTCCAGGGAATCACACACCCTTTTCTGGACTTCAAGGGTACCAGGCACGTATGTGGTACACAGATATATATGAAGGCAAAATACCATACACATTTAAAAAAAATAAATATTGGAAGAAAACAACAAGTCATATGTTATTCCTGTACTGAAGAAGTGAGGTAGGCGAGTCCCTGGGGCTCACTTGACAAGCCAGCGAGAGCCTGTCAGAAGAAACAAGGTGGGTAGCACCTAAGACACAATACCTGAGCTTTCCCTCTGGCCTCAACATGCTCAAGCACGGATGTACACACACACACACACACACACACACACACACACACACACACACACACAGAGTCACAGCTGGCTGCGGTGGTGCACACCTGTAATACCAGCACCTGGGAGGCTGAGGCAGGAGGGTCGTGAGTTTAACAACCTGAGCTATGTATCAAGACTTTGGAACTCGGGATTCCCATCTCCAGCTCCTGAGTACTGGGATTATGATCGGATGCCCCACCCGACCCATTTCACATGGGTTCAGTTGCTGAGTGGCTGTGGAGACCTGTAGCCATGGCTTGGCTTGCCCAGATAAATGCTCCCTTTTATGATGGCTTTTATGGCAGAGGTGATGTGGGTTACACCCTAGTAATCTGTCCCTTGTTGCCCTGGGAAGGGTCCTGTAACCACCAGTGCCTGAAGCTAAAGCAGGACACGCCCTTCATCCCAGCTGTCCTGGGCTGGTCCTTGTGGGAGGGAAATCCACACTCACAGGGAGGCTGGGCATCCTGGGGAGGGAAATTCACCTTCATAGGGAGGCTGGGCATCCTGGGGAGGGAAATTCACCTTCATAGGGAGGCTGGGCATCCTGGGGAGGGAAATTCACCTTCATAGGGAGGCTGGGCATCCTAGGAGGATTAAATGCCCTCCTTCCCTCCTCCAGAGAGGCAGGAGATGGGAAGAACTCAGATGGCCCTGGCAAAGCTGGGAAAAGGGAGGTAAACAGAGATCTTTAAGCCATAAGGCTTCAGACAGGAGTGGGCTAGCACCAGCCTGACGGGAAAGGGTAGCAGTTCTACCCTTATTGGTCCCCTAAACACCCCTTTCCCGGGAACTCAGACCCCTGAAAAGAAAAACTAGATCCTTGGAGAGGCCAGACTCCGGTGTCCCCTTAGACATTGGAGCATGGCCCTCCAGTGCGGCTAGGGCAGTGTCTGCTGCCGAGGCCTTTGAGACGGATGTCACGGCAGATGGGAGTTCATGCCAGTACAATGGCTGCCTCCTGCTCTAATGACGGATATGGAGTTTAGCCAGAACTGCCTGCCCCTTCATCTTCATGAGGGGGGGGAATCAATGAACGGACAAATGGAGACTGTGAGCAGATACGGCTCTCTTGTCTAGCCACAGCTATGCCCTCAGGGATGTTTCTCTGAGTCTAGTTCCCTCCCGGGAGGGTAGGGGGAGTGAGCTCCCATCTCTGGCATTCCCTGAGGGCTAGGAGGAGAGCTACAGGTATCCATGCTGGCTTCTGGGTTAAGAAGGGTAGACTGGCTATGGCTGCCAGAAGAGGGGGTCTTAGTCCAGTATAGCGAGAGAAGGGAACATGGCAGGCCTGAAGAGGGTGGGCAGAGTTTAGTTTTCAAAAGCACCTTGGCCTTTGTCCAGCTGTGTGGCCTTGGGCACATAGTCGCCATCTCTGTGCCATGTCCTCTGCTTTAAGATGACAATCATTTGGATTTTACTGTGGCTTTGGGTAATCCTTCTGTCTCAGCCTCCTGCGTGGGAGCCAACCACTGCCCCTATTGTATGGCAGCTTCCTGGGCATCAAAACATCCCTCCAGGAGACTCATGGAGGTAAACAAAAGGCCACCGCGTCCAGGAAAGTGAAAACGTGGAAGACTCTTGCAGACCCCTCCCCAGTTTTATACAAGGAACAATTAACTGCTGGGTGAGGTAATGGGACCAGCTGAGATTTGCAGGCTGTCAAGCTTCCCGCCCGTCTTGCAGAGAGCTCCGGGGTTGCAGCTTTCCTGAATTGTCTCCTTTGTTGGTTGAGGTGGACTTTTCCATGATGCAGCCACTTTTGAGCCATCCCTGCCTGCTCCATGAGTAACGCCCCCTCCTGCCCCCCCCCCACACACACGCACACTCCCGTTAGTAACGCCACTAAAAACTGATTAGCTTAACAAGTTGGACTTTGGTCTGTTGGAAGGCTAGCCTGGGACTTCTGTGTAGCTAAGGATGACCTTGAACTCCTGATCCTCCTGCCTCTACCTCTGAGAGCTGGAAGTATGAGTGTGAGCCATCAATCATGTTTGGCTTATGTGTTGCTGGGATGGATCCCAGAGCTTCTTGCTTGCTCAGCAAGCGCTCGACTGACAGAGCTACTGTTCCCGGATCTTAGCGGCAAAGTAAGTCGCTTGTTCAGGGCCACCTCCTTCTCAGTGGCTGAGGTCAAAGTGCCCAAATTCACTCCTACCAGGACCTGTGGCCCAACCCCTGTGAGTCACAGAGGAGGTGGGCTGGAGGTGGTCTCAATTATGAGACCACACCCCTCTCCCTGGGCAGCTCAGCAGCAGTGTATCTGAAGTGGGTACCTGTCAGTGAGGTAAGTTCCCATTACCTAGGTGACACAGGAAGCCACCACAAAGG